CCTTTGGGCTAAGTGCCAATCCCTAATTCAAGGTTGGAGTCATCTGATACAAAACATGACAATGTGTAGACAAGAACTGCTCTGGTCTTTTATTTCGGAAGGAGACTAACTACAAGTCAACCTAGATTTTTAGACTTCTGAGCAAAGAAAAATGTCAGTAGCTATATTTAAGATTAGGTTTCCAACCCTGAAAACCCTATTAGGCAGTTCTACTCTGCCCTATAGGGTCGCTAGGAGTTGGAATCAACTTAATGGCAGGGGGTTTGTTTTATTTTTTTAATTTGTGTTGCTTTAAGTGAAAAATCCCATGCAGTAGATGTTAGGTTTCCAAATAGATTGCTATGGTAGGCTGCTAAGCTTCCCCTAGGTGGTGTGTATATAAAGTAGTTCATTACCCAAAATGCTGGGTACTATACTTGAGCAGCATTTTGTCTCTGTTTATATACAGAAATTAAAGGGAACAGATGTGTTTATTATTTTAATAAACCATTGTACATGCCAGTGAAAAAAAGAAACTTTTCTAAATAACACTGAGTCAAAAAATAAATGGCTTGGAAAAATTAGAAAATCTTTGTAACTGAGGGATGAAAACAAAAACAACATATCAAAGCATATGGAATACAGCTAAAGCAATACTTAGAAAAAACTTTATAAACTGAAAAGATCAAATGAACCTTTAGAAAGTAGGAGGAGATATTAAAATCATGAGCAAAAATAATGCAACAGAAAACAAAACATACAGAGAGAATTAATGACACCAAAAGTTGGTTCTTTAAAAAGACAGATAAAGCAACAAACTTCTGGTGAGACCAATCAAGAAAAAACAGTGAAGGCAAAAATAATATCAGGAATAAAACAAGGAAAACACTATAGATGCTGCAGATGTTAGAGGATACTATAAATTATTTCATATCAATATATTTAAAAACAGAATGGACAAATTTTTAGAAAAATGTAATTTATGAGCACATTATTAAGAAAACCGGTAAAATTTAAATATGAACCATATATTATATATCAATGCAAAATGTTCTAAATTACATAATTATACTGTGGTTAAGTAAGAGAATATTCTTGCTTTTAAGAAATACTGAAGTATTTATGGATAAAAGTGCATGATGTCTACAACTATCAAAAGACTCAGGAAAAATACGTATGTATATATGTATGTATTATGTATTTATGTACACCTAGTCCTCACATAGGAGGTCTGGTAGCACAGTGCCTAACGCACTTGACTGCTAACCAGAAGGCTGGCAGTTGAAACCAACCAGTCACTCCTCGGAAGAAAGATGGGGCAATCTACTTCCATAGTGATACTGTCTTGGAAACCCAAGGAGGGGTCACTATGAGTCCGACTCGACAGCCCATAACAACAACAACAAGTCCTCACATATAGATGCTCTCATTATCTGACATTTTGCATTTATGACAACTTAGAAAAAATTCTCAGGCAGTACTTATGGTGGGGCTGTGGCCAGACCTGGAGTACTCTTGACAGGCCACCTTGAATCATGTATTAGAAGTCCTTGGAACGTTTGGGTCAGACTGGGCCACATGTAGATGACTGGTTGCGGGACACCTTCTCCCATTTGTCTGCAACATCTCAGTCCAGCCATGGAGGGTCTGGGTGATGGGGGGATGACTCACGCAAGGTCATGGGAAGGGAGGGGGAGGTCAGGCGAGGGCCCAAAGGTGTCAGGAGGTTGGTGGGAGAAGGAAAAAAGGGAGGAGAAGGAAAGGGGTTACATAAGACTGTAGAGCTGGGGAAGACAGAAGAGGAGTGAGGACCTCACACAGGGTGGGCAGCGGAGACTGTGGGTGGGGGATGCAGGGCCCTTGCTCAGGGCAGGCAGTGGAAGGCAGCAGGCACTGGGAAACCCCCAACCTCCACTAGCCCAACCACCAAGGGCTCCTTGGTGGTGGGGAAGGGAAGCCTGCTATGCCAGGGACATCCCAAGATGCACTGAGGGTGCCCAGCAAGCAGTGAGTAACCAGGGGGAGTACCAGCCCTAAAGATGGCATAGCCCCCTGACTCACTTAACACTGAATTCACATAAGACCTTGTCTTTGGAACCTAACTGTGTCAGTAAGTGAGGAGTGGGTGTATATATCTACAAAGCAAAGGGATGATAAAGCAAATGTGACAAAATGGTAACTTGTGAAATGATAAAGAATATATGGACTAATATTACTGTCTTGTAACTCTTCTGTAAATTCTTTTACATATATTCTAGAAGTTATTTATTTTTGCCTTTCATATTTAAGTCTTCAATTCACCTGGAACTGAATTTTATATACTATTTTTTCCCTAAGGATATATGAATGTCCCAGCATCATTTACTGAAAATCCAACCATATCCCCCTTGATCTGTATATATTATATCCAAATAAAGCTATGTTCATGTCTGGTCTTTCTGTTCTTTCTACACTAAAACAAAGAGCTTCAGTTCAACAACAAACAGCACGAAGACTGAGAAAACAAACCATGAAATGAGAGAAGTAACTTATAAACCATATAACAGACACAGGAGCAGTATTTAGAATATATAGAAAGTTATTATAAATCAAGATGAAGAAGGTAACGTAAGATTATTATAAATGAAGATCAAGATGAAGAGGTAATCCTACAGAAATATGGATAAAAGATTTGAATAGGCATTTGCAAAGAACAAATATGCAGTCGATAATCACACAAATCAGTGTCTAATTATATGAAATTATTGGAGGAATACAAATTAAAACTGCAATAACCTGTAACTTCAAACCCAAAAAGTGAAAAGTGTGATAATACCAAGAGGTGAGGAGTATGTGGCTCAAAAAGAACTCTCATACACTGCTGGTAGAAGTGTAAATGCATCACTTTGGAAAACAATATGGTTTTGGTAGTAAAACTGAAGTTATACTCTGTGATCCAGCAACATCCCTCACAGGTAAATACTTCAGAGAAACTGCTATACCAAGAATCATGTATAAGAATGTTCATATGGGGGTCATCAAGCTCAAATGGGATAACACTGTAAAAACATTGTTCTACATCCTAGTTGGGTGAATAGCAATTAGGGTCTTAGGGGCTATTGAGTAGTCATCTAAGATGCGTCAACTGGTCACTCTTTATTTGGAGCAAAGAGAGAAGAAAATCAAAGATGCATGGAAACAACTAGTCCAAGGGACTAGGGGACCATGGGAACTTTAGCTTACCCGACCCTGAGACCAGAAGAACTAGATGGTGCCTTGCTACTAGTGCCAACCACTTAGAAAAGGATCAAAATTGGAGATCATGAATAGAGTGGGAGAAATATGTGGAACAAGACTTGAAATCATAAAAGAGAAGAGGCTTACTGATCTGACAGAGGCTGGTGAAACCCAGGAGACTATGGCCCCTACTCACCCTTCAGGCTTGGAATTGTAGGATTGCCCAACCTTCCTTCCGAGGAGTGGCTGGTGGGTTTGAACCGCCAGCCTTCTGGTTAGCAGTCAAGTGCCTTAGGCACTATGCTACCAGAGCTCCCTAACAACAACAACAACCCATGGCTTAATCTTCAGCCAAACAAGACAGGCCTGCAAGGTAACAATTATACTAGGGAGGTGCACTCCTTAGAACAATCAACCATGGAAAATCAGAAGGGTAGCATTTGAGCAGACGGAAAGCTCAGAAGACAGGAATATATAGGAAAGGACACAGGGGAAAGGCAACCACGGGGAAGAAGTGGGAAAAGAGTTGTTATATTGTGGGGATTACTATGAAGGTCACAAAACAAAATGTATGAACTTTTGAATGGAAAATGAATTTGCTCTGTAAACTTTCACCTAAATCACAATAAAAAGTAAAAAAAAAAATGTTTATAGTAGCTTGGTTTTAGAAGCAATCCAAATGTCCATCAACAAAAATGTGAATATATTCAAATGGAATATGTCATAGCAATGAATACGAATAACTATAGTCACTGACAAGAATATGGATTAATCTCACAAACAATAGCTTGAGTGAAAGAAACAAGATATAAAAGAATGTGCACAGTATGATTTAATTTATATAGACTTCAAAAATGCTGAAACAATCTCTATTATTTGGTGTGCACATATGGGTGGTAAAACCAAAAGAAAAGTAAGAAACATGTGATCACAGCAGTTAAGAAGATGATTATTTCTAAATACCAGAGAGCTGATAGTAATTGAAAAAGATACACAGAGGACTTCTGAGGTATTGTTGGCATTGTTCTATTTCTTGATCTGAGTGACGGTTGAAAGGGTGTGTGCTTTTAATTTTTGTTAAATTGTGCATGTCTTAGGCACTTTTCTGTGTTAAGTGTATCTTATATTTCACAATTAAGAAAAAGAGAAAAAAAGAAAAAGAACATGAACTTGATGTTTTTATGAAATTCCAAGTTGATGAGTAAATTACTGAGTATGCAGTTTATACAAGGAAATGAGACTAGGAAGACACACAATGAGGTATTATGCAATAAAATTGTTGTACAAAATTTTGTGCAGAATGTGTGCACGGGCCTATAGCAAACATGTATGTCTAGACCATTCTGCCAATCTTGCCAAGTTCATAACACCCATCTCTATATGAGGGGAGGGGAAGGGAAGAGAGAAAAAGGGGGAGAAAGAGGGGAGGGGAATGGAAGAGAGAAAAGGGAGGAGAGAAAGACTGTATTAGTTTAAGATGACTTGCTAGTTCTTGATTTCTGTCCCTAACGAGGACTGGCTATATTCTTGGGTTCCAGGGGCTATTCTAAATCATGTATTTTCCCACTTTATTTATGTTTAAGTGGTTTTTCTTGCTAGCAGAGTTTTGACTGAGACGAGTCATGGGCTCAACTACATTATTCTACTATTAACTTTAGAAATCAAATAATAGGTCAATGATAAACATCTTATTTCTGATCTATCAACACATTAGGTAACAATCAGACTTTTTATTCATAAGAAATTTTTAAAGATAAATGATAACACTCATTAAAATGTTAAAACATCACTTTTCTTTAACTTACCCTCAAAGTATGGTGCTCTTGTGCTAATAATATTCTTAGTTCTTCATGCAGTGTTATAACTTCCAGAAATTGTCCCCATAAAGCCATTAGAAGTGAGCAAAGTTGTGCAAGATTCATATTTATAAGTTCTGCCAGTTCATCAGGATTTTCTAATTTCTGAAATGACAAAAAAAGTAAACTCAACTTCATGCTGATTTACTGTAACATGCCTAAATATAATATTTTGAGAATATTAATACTAAAGCAAACTTGTAATTTTAAAAAGCAGTATGTTTGAATGCATATGCCTAAGTGTGTAGAAAGACAGAGACCAAGAGATCAATGGTGCTTTATCTTTGATAGCTATTGTAATTTTAAAAAACTTAAACAGTATTTCAATATCTGAGATATTTCATTATGAAATAACATCAGTAGTCAACTACAATTACAAAGTAGGATTCTATGGAGAATAATCAACCCCATGTGACCCTATATTTGTGTTTAAACTTTTCAATATTTTAGTGTTTGTACTGTAACCTCAAAATACAAACACTAAAATATTGGAAAGTTTAAACACAAACATAGGGTCACCTGGGGTTGCTATGAGTTGGAACTGACTTTATGGCAATCAACAACATACACAAATATGATAAAATTTGTAACATTTTGAAAGATAATGAAATCTTAAGTTTTTCCCCCCAATCAACTAAATACTTAAATATCTGTAGTTTTTCAGACAGAAATGAGATACTTTCTAAAGTACCCTGAACTCACTCCTATGCTTTTAGATTCTATTTTACTTGTGGTAATCCTTTTACAAAGTTGTCAAACTCCTTTCCTTTTTCTCCTAATAGGTTAGTGCCTATATTCTAGAAATTCAAAGATAATATGAACATCTCATAATCTAGTGAGGAAAGAAAAACAGTTAAACAATTATAATAAACTTAATGAGTATTCTGATAAAACCTACAACCAAACCCACTGCTGTGAAGTCAATTTTGATTCAGTGACACCCGTACAGTTTCCAAGCGTGAAAATCTATATATAAGCAGAATGCCTTATCTTCCTGCTGTGGAGCAGCTGGTGGTCACACCTCTGACCTTTTTGGTTAGCAGTCAAATGTCTTAACCACAGCACCATGATATTAAATTATCCCATGAATATTATTTCTCATTAATTTTAAATATTCACCTAAATGGATCATAAAAGTTAAAAGTATTGGTTAATCATATTATAGGAGCTCTGGTGGCATAGTGCCTAAGGCATTTGACTGCTAACCAGAGGGCTGGCAGTTCAAACCCACCAGCCACTCCTCAGAAGGAAGATTGGACAATCTACTTCTGTGGTGATGCTGCCACAGAAACCCAAGAAGGGGTCACTATGACTCAGGTCTGACTTCATGGCACATAACAACACCAACAACAACAACAATCATAGTATAAAAGGCAGAATCTTCTAAGGAGGCAATTGGTTTTCTTTAAATTGATGAAATAAGGATTTTTAACAAAGAATAAAAGAGATAAATCAGAACTGTTTCTCTTGGGGCAAGCATTTTCATTATGATACAATTTTTTGAAATTCAGGCAGATACATTTTAGGCATACATCTTGCTACAAAATTTGTCTTTAAATTAATAGGGATACTAGTAAATATGTATCCTATGTACAGAGATAGATGCTGAGTTCATTTTCTTATCCTAAAGAGGACAACGCAACACAACGCACTACCATGGAGTTGGACTCATAGCAACTCCTCCTTGGGTTTCCAAGACGGTATCACTATGGAAGTAAATTGCCCAACCCTCCTTCTGAGGAGTGGCTGGTAGGTTTGAATTGCCAGCCTTCTGGTTCAAAGTCAAATGCCTTAGGCACTATACTACCAGAGCTCCTCCCCTAAAGAGGACAGGAGTAGCCTAACCAAGTTAAGGTTGAAAGCCACTCTCATAATTTCGATTACCATCTACACTTAAACCAGTTGCTGTCAAGTTGATTCTGGTTCATGGTGTGTCAGAGAACTGTGCTCCACAGGTTTCTCAACGGCTGACTTGTTAGCACTACCCAAGGATTCCACCTATACACTAATGACTTCTAAATCTTCATCTCTGAATTACATTTCTTTCTAGAGCTCTAAACCCATTAATCCATTACCTACTGAATGACCATATGTGACTGTGAAAAGAAAGTTCCTTAAATTCAGCATGTCCCAAATTATACTAATTATATCTCTAACCAATAATTTTTAAAATTTTCCAAACAGTGCTTATTAAATATGATAGTTATTCTCAGTTTATTTTTATTTCTTTTTGAAGTTTGCAATTGAGTAGGCTTTTTTCTCTCCCTCAAATCAAGCTTCCAACTTATTTATTCTAACTCAGAGAAGACATAAAACAAAATTTAGCAAAATAAGCAAGAAAAGGGGAGAGATTACGTTCTATTCACTTTACATTTCTTGTAACTGGTACAGTAGTCACTCAATAAATAAATAAATATTTAATTAATAAATGAATGAATTAATGAGGCTAAAGATTAGTTTATGCACAAATTCATAAAATGTTTACAAATTCAAAAATTCTGTAAAGGAAGTCAAAAGAGTCAACATATGATGAATATTGATTGATTTATCATCGTATGATTAATCTAAGATGTGTTTTTTTCCAATAAATGTAGATAGAAATGAAGCTAACAAGTTTTTTATGTCTCTCTTAAATACAAACTAGAAGACTAAAATGTAGTCTAAAATAAGCTTGAAGTCTACAGTACTATCCTAAGAATGGTTTTAATAGAGTTTAGAGAAGGGAGAGTGGATAAGCTTTTGACAGTAATTAAATAGCATTGTGTAAGGCAAGCAATACTATATCTAGTATGGTTTCTACACAAGTAGGAATAATGCCTAAGCTTTATCTTTGGCTGAATAAAACATACAACTCTTTTTTTCACCTGAGGGTAAGCTCATTTAGATATTAGTAATTATAAACTGGAAGGCACTCAGAATATGACTGGGGAGGAGCTACATCCTCAAAATAGATGTCCTATTGTGCTGGACAAATCTGCTGCAAAAGACCTCTTTGAAGTGCTAAAGGGCAAAGATGTCACTTCGAAGACTAAGGTGAGCCTAATCCAAGCCATGGTATTTTCAGTCACCTCATATGCATGTAAAAGCTGGACAATGAATAAAGAATACTGAAGAAGAGTTGATGCTTTTGAATTGTGGTGTTGGTGAAGAATACTGAAAATACCGTGGAGTGCCAGAGAAAAGAACAAATCTGTCCTTGAGGAAATACAGCCGAAATGCTCCTTGGAAGCGAGAATGGCCAGACTTCATCTCACCTACTTTGTTCATGGTGTCAGAAGGAACCATTTCCTGCCAAAGGATATCATGCTTGGCAATGTGAAAGGTCAGTGAAAGAGGGGAAGAGCCTCAACAATACAGAATCACACAGTGGTTGCAAAGATGGGCTGAAGCATAGCAAGGATTGTGAGGATGGTGCGTGACCAGGCTGTGTTTTGTTCTGCCGTACAGAGGGTCGCTATGAATCAGAGCTGACTTGATGGCACCTAACTACAAATATAAATTTCATTCTCAAGGGATCATGGTACCAAGATTCTGTCAGAAGACTTTAGGATTTTCTTTATTGGAAAATAATAAACTGCCCCCTTCGAGTACAGTGAAACTTGTGAGAGCTGGAACTCAACCCGACTGCCTTGATTTACAAGGTCTCATTAAGTTTTCCACCTTTGACAAATGTTTCACCACTTTTATATTGCTAATTCTAGTGAAAATATATGAGTTTTCTTTCTCTGACAGGTTTCTGCCTTATACAAGTTTTACACTGTAAATAAGTAACTCCTCTGGTTTACATAAGTCTTTGCCTATAAGTCTCTGTGACTAAATAATAATAAAAAATTCTTTTTATGTTAAGAAGAACTTAGAATAAAGTTTGACAATACTTTTTATAGGATTTCCCTATATACTTAACAACAATGAAGATTAGAAATCACTTTAATTTTTTGCAAATTTCATGGGCAATAAACCAATTTTTATTATTTAAATCTGCAATACCTAGTTTTCGATAAGAATGAGCATCATTTCAGTAGCTAACTTGTTTGGCTAAGAATTGCCTATTTATACATTGCACGTGTTTACTCACTTTTCACAAAGGTGGTGTTCTGAAACTGATTCAGAGAAGCCCTTATAAATTGTGAAATGTGAATTAATCATTTGCCTATTTTAAATGTTGTAAAGAATTCTCTTTTAGTGTATTATTTTCAAATTTATTTAAAAAATTTTGCTATAAAAAAGTTACAAATTATAGATATTTTATTTTGTCCTTTATTGTTAGTCTGAAGAAGTCACTTCATATCATAAAATCAGTTTACTTATAAATTGTTTTCTTCTTAAGTTATTTTTGGTATTTAACACTTTAGTCCATTCAGAATTCCATCTGACGCATGTATGGTATGATCTAATTTACCACCACCACTTACAAAGCCATATATTTGTGATATTTTATCATAAACTGAGTTCTTAAACTACTAGCAGCTACTTACTTTATTTACAAATGCCACTTAATTTCATAAATTTGTCTTTCTATTCTTTTAAAGAAGTTCAAACATATTTCCATTTTTACAGCTTTACTGTATCTTCTAATATCCTGTTAGGCAAGTCCCTCTATATTTACATGACTTTAAAAGTTTTTATTAGCCACTCTTTGTTATTGTTGTTAGGTGCCATCAAGTTGTTTCTGACTCATAGCGACCCCATGCACAGCAGAATGAAACACTGCCTGATCCCACGCCAGCTCCACGATCCCTGCTATACTTGAGGCCATCATCGCAGCCACTGTGTCAATCCATCTCATTGAAGGCCTCCCCCTCTTTCGTCGACCCTCCACCCTACCAACCATTACATCCTTCTCCAAGGAATGGTCCCTTCTGAAAACATGACCAAAATAGGTGAGAAGAGGTCTGGCCATTCTCGCTTCCAAGGAGCATTTCGTGTGCACTTCCTCCAGGACAGATCTGTTAGTTCTTCTAACAGTCATGGTACTTTCAGCATTCTTCGCCAGCACCACAACTCAAAGCATCAACTCTTTTTCAGTCTTCCTTATTCATTGTCCAGCTCTCACATGCATATGAGGCAATTGGAAATATCATGACTTGTGTCAGGCGTACCTCAGTCCTCAAGGAGACATCCTTGCTCCTCAGCACTTGAAACAGTTCCTTCGCGGTTGACTTTCCCAATGCTACACGTTGTCTAATGTCCTGACTTCTGCTTCCATTGGCATCAATTGTAGAACCAAGCAACGTGAATTCTTTGACAACCTCAATCTTCTCTCCATTTATTGTGATGCTGCTCATTGGTCCAGTT